ATTTATATTTTTATTTATATTTCATATAATACTGGAAACATACTCAGGAAATATATATTAAGTAGGGATGCTGATACAGTTTTGTATTCATTAGCAACCTGCTCACAGAATCTTACAATGCCTAGAAGTCAAAGGGCAACCCTCGATCAACTGTGATTTCAGTCAAGACATTGACATGTGAATTATCACTTTTATTTTGAAAGTTTTATTTGACGGTTTCAAAGTCCTTTTCAAGTGTCAGCTGTGTTTCACAGCAGTTCTGTAAGGACTTATATTTCAAGAACTTCACAGAACAGATGGAAATATTTTAATGACTAGTCCATTTTACCTGTCCTTTGAAATGTGATGGGACTTCAAGGGAAGAAACATGGCTGTACCCCAGCCTTTTTACCATATTTTGTATTTGCCAGGAGGTGAAAAGAGGAAGTCACTAATATAAGTATATTCCTGTACATGATGCTTTATGTAAATACCTACACAGACACACAGCTAGGACAGGAGCGAGCCTAGATCCTGAAAGAGGCTGCAGGAGCCTTCTCTCACAGGCACTGGGACCCTCAGAATTTACAAAATTAAGAGAATCTAGAAAATAACAGTTTGAGGAACAGTACTCTTCACAGCACATGGTTCCTATTCTCTTATATAGGCCTAAAGAAGTAAAGTGTTTGTTTAAACACAATTTTCATTCTAAGGAAGATTACCATAAATCGAATTTTCTAGATTTGAGATTTTTTTTTTTCCTTAAATCTTTTTTAAAAAGTGTTTTGTCTCCCAAATTAAATTTGGCAATTTGTTTGATCAGAATTGCAGCTAGGCTTTGTGCTACTTCCTGGAAGAAATGAAAAGGCTCCAGGGTATTATATTTTTAAAAGGAGTGCCTGCAGAAGCAAGGTGAGAGTGTCCCAAAGATTCCACCATTTATGGAGCTCATTGCATGGCTCTCCTGTTAGCAGGCCTATCTAATATCTGGCTGTAAATCAGACCCAGATGATGTAATTGTGACCCAGATGATAGAGCAGAAAAGCTATCAAACAGTGGATGAAAATAATTTAGCTGCACTATGGTTTTTATATATGTGGTAAGAAATTCATTTTTAAAAAAATTGATGTTCGCATAAGAAGTATACTTTGAATTAAAGTTGCAATGTGTATTGAATCGAAGTTGCAATGTGCATAACCTTCATGAATCCAAAAAGTTGTCAGAAAAGGTAAAACATCCCACCTCACGTTCTTCCTCCTGTTCTTTCCGAATCTGTTCCAAGCGAAACTGCTCTGCCATTTCTCTCTCTTGTGCTTCCCTCTAATAAAACAAACAGTAACCACACATGTATCACCTCGCTTTCCACAGCTTAATGATGTGCATTAGCTATATAAAAGCAAAGAAACTTCTCAACTTTTCTGTAGAAATTAATGTAAGAAATAGGATATTTATTAAGTGATCTTTTCCTATCATTCCTTTCCCAACTTCTATTACTAAGCGAGGCCAGGACTGCTTTAGCAAAAAGATGTAGTCAGGCCTACTCCTAGTGACTGTATCTAGTGCCATTTTATAACCACTGAGGGCAATAATCATAGAATCATAGAATTGTTTAGGGTGGAAAAGACCTTTAAGATCGTCCAGTTCAACCATTAACCTAACACTACCAAGTCCACCACTAAACCAACTAAGAGTAGAGTAATAATTCCATGTTTCCTGGCTTGGTGACTCCTACAGCAACTGTCTCATCTTAAGAGCAGAACTGAAGGCAGGCAGTCCTCTGCACCAGAGAGATTTCACCAGTGGTGGAGAGATTCCTGTCCAGACGTTCATGCAATCGCTTCACCCTGCACACACCTTTGCTCTGTCAGCCTCCAGTGATATGCGGTATGCTTCATCCTGCTCTCTTTTCACATTTTCTCTGGCTTCACGTTCATCCTAAAGAAAAAAAGAAAAAAGAAAAGAAAACAAAAAATATCAGCAAACAGTGGACCGATATGATATATATCTTCATGTTCACCAGCACTCTTTAACCCCAGTGACTTCAAAATATTTGACTGCCTTACTCGTCTAACTACTGCTAGGAGAAATGATTTCAGAAATGCCTCAAGGGCGATCTTGGCTTCCAAAAATTATGACTTACCTAAAGCTATGTTTCAATTGCCTTGTAATGGGTTGGTGTGTCCAAGCCCCGGCCCGAGGGCTGGATCTGGCAGCAAGGCTCTTTGCCCTGCCACCTTTACCAGGGCCGTGGCCGGTGCAGGCTCCGGGAACAGCGCAGCCTCCTCCCGCGCCAGCCACGTGGGGAGGGGGGCGTGGGAGGGGATGTGTGGGCATGTGTGGGCTGGTGCTGGGGAGGGTCTCGCGGGGATCTCACCCCTGCAGCCAACAATTCGGACAGTCTTGTAATAGGGAAGGACAGGCCGAGGTTTAAAGGAGGAGGCTGGATTTTAATTTGCTCTCCGCTCAGTCTGACAGCAGTTAATGGCTTGTCCTGAGAGAGAAGGCCCGCTCCCAGGTCATTTCTTGGTAAAAGCACCCTCAGTAGGTTCCACCCAGGGTCATGACTATTAAACATCATCCAGAGGCCTCAGTTCACATTATGCTGAGTATTATACAAAGATGGGAAAGTAGCAAGTCCTGCTTCGAAGTGTCCAAATACACAGATGCAGGCAGACAAGAAACATGAGGTTAGCATGCCAACTTCAAACCAGCAAACCTAGCAAAGTATCTTATTAACAATCACAGCATAAAAAAAAAAAAAGAGTTTACTAAAAATATGTGAATGACAAAGCGAGGCATCATCCATACGGTGGAGGATCAGGAAATGGATATCCCCAAAAGCTGGAATAACTGCACTGGGGTGATGTCTGATAAAGCAAAGTGTAGAGTCACTAGCTTCATACTCTGCCTCTGGAGCCACAGACAGCAGCTGCTCCCCTGCGCTTACTGCTTTTGCATTTTATAATCCTCCCAGAGCCCTGCAGAGGCTGCACTGGTCCCTACAAAAATCAGTAAGATTTAGCTGTGAGACTGCTGGTGGGCTCAGCACGGTCACTCATAGTTACCAGTAACAAAGCACTTGCACTGGGGTAATCTATCCCCTGCATTTCATAGAAATTGAAGTCTACTACCTACTGCTTTTTGAAGAATTATGTTAATTTTTTCATTAATCTGCAAGGTTGATTCTGCATAAAGGCATCATTTTGCAAAGTGATCAACTTTCTCCCCAAAACTTCATTACTTGGCAAAAACTCAATTCTAAGCGGGAGGAGCATACGTTAGCTGTTACTATCATGTCATGCAATCATGCCAAGATGCTCCTCAAACAAAACTAATGTATTAGTGGTTAAAAAGCTCTGAAGTAGCATGCGAGCACAAGAGGAAAGGACAAATTGCAGGAAAAGGTATACAACCTCCAGTTGGAAAGTAACAAGATCTTTTTAGAGGAAACTCTTCTTCCTTATAGAAACAGGACGCAAGAATATTCTACAATCAGTGTGTCCTAAATTTCATTCACAGAAGATAGAGAAACCATCACTTTGTTCAGCAAAGCTAAGACATGAGTAGAAGCAATTCTTGCAGAATGTAAAAAGGACAATAACCACCACATAACCCATTCCCCTCCTGGCTTCTCTGGACCTCAACAAGCTTTATGTGTTATGTTCATGGAATACCTTCAAAAATTAACTCAAACCTGATAGCAGAAACTACCCTACATTAATATTCCATTTCTGAGAAGAGTGGGTGTTGAAATAATTAAATGGCGTCAATTTTTATGATATCCAAAAATGAGGAAAGCTTCTTGAATACACAGATGTTTTCCCAGCTCTTCTCGTAGAGGGAATATAATAGTAAAGGAGAAGGTTTTGCACTATCTATACTAAGACTTTCCATAAGCATACCATAAATTTATCTTAGAATGGTGAGAAACAAAACTATCTTCCCAAACCAACTTACTAAAGGAAGATAGACTTCGGGCAATCTGCGAGAGGACAAGCATTTAAAAAGATACTAAGAATTGTTTTGCAGAGAGCCTATTTAGCTTTCATGTTTTGCAACTTCATATATCATACACTAACTGCAGACACTAACTGAATTTCAAAGGTCACACAAGTCCAATAGTGCCTGAGAGAAAACAGAAAGACCAGATGCAATAATTGCAACTACAGGCTCTTTCCTTCATCAAAGATTGCTAGCGGCTACCATATAGTTACTTGTTTACAAAAAAAAACCCGAAACAAACCTAAATCAAAACCAACCCTCAAAAAGTAAAAATTTATAATAATTGTTAAAAACTTACTCCAAAAATATATACTAATCAGAGTTATAAGAAATTGAGTACTGGCTTTTATTTTACATTTTACAAACTGTCTAGAGAACTCTAGAAAATTATTAGAAGTTACTTGTGATGAGCATGGGATTCATTTACCTACAGAGAGCTTTACTGAAGAATTTTTAAAATTGGTTTGATTTATATAATCTGGATGATACCTGCAAAAAGGACTGATGCTATAGATTCTACAATAAGAATCTAAACATGAATTCCAGGCATTTAGGAAAAAAAAAAAATCCTTTCCTCCCTATTCATCACAGTTATCGTTGTCCTAAAAGTGGATTATGAAAAAGATGTCAGGAATGTGAAGAATTACTATGCATGACTGCCTGGTCCTCACAGAAATACGTGAGCCACATCTAGAAGTAAATGACCACACCACCAAGCTTTATACTGCATTGAAACAATACTGTTCTTACCAAAACAGACCTTAAAACCAGATCTGGAATCCAGATTTCTTTAGGTAAGAAGCAGATGTAATCCTATGAAATGTCTCTTTGTACCTACTTTGGTGTTTTGTTAATATTGCTCACACTCTAGAGGAACCACCTCCTCTACGGAGATTATGGCAAAATTGTAACATTCTCTGGTTCAGAGCTACACCTTAGACAAATTTTAATCACCACATACTGCAGTTTTCCTTGTAATACAGTCTGTTTAGTCATCTTTTCCTCCAGAGAAACTACACAAAGTATGAGGATGACTCAAGTTTACCAAAAGCAACAAAAGAAAATTCATAATGGTGACAGAAAAAGCAGAATAAAAAGTTTTGCAGAGAATCTTTTGTTGCACTAAGAACACATGAAGAAAAAAAAGAATAGTCACACCACTAATAATTAATTAAAAAAATGTTCTAAGTATTATCCTTTAACAAAATCAGAGGTAATCGACAGCTTTCCTGTTAAACCCTACATAAATTGCAGCATCGACTGAACATCAATAAATGCATCTCCACAATACTTCTGCAATGCAGGTAAAATTGCCGTCTTCCTTTTTCAAGAAACCAAGGTGTGACCAGCCAATGGCTTATCCCAGGTCACTTAAAAAGCCTTCATCAGCAACAGGGGTTACACTCAGCATTTCTGAATTCTACAGCAGCAACCAAAGGCTGGTGTGAATGTAAACCATCCACATCCCAGGGGGTTTGGGCATGAGATGAGGAGACAACTCTCCTTTGCTCCTTAAAGGGAAAAAGTCACAGATCTCTGCTTTCCCATTTTGACAATGCAACAACAGGGGGGACATTCATTCAAGGGAAAGTTGATACTTCAAAAAAAAAAAAAAAATTACATTTGTCCACAGAATATGTTCTTCAGCTATGAATTTTATTTGCGATCACGCATATTATAAATTTGTAACAAAAATAGTAAACACTTATATTCATGAGATAGTTACAATGGACCAGATAAAACCTTCTCTTGAGTAATATCCAGAGCTACAAGACTAAGAAAAACTTATAAGTAAGGTTCAGAAGAAAATTAGGATAACTCTCTCCAATAATTATTCCCTAAACCATTTCTCGAAGTAACCCCTGAAGCACCTAATAGCAGGCATTTCCAGATGCAAGATGGGAACGGGGGATTCCTGACTGCATTTAAGACAGCAGTGTGCCCTTTTCCTGCAGATTACACAGGGAAAAAAAATACACAATACATTTGGCTTTTTGGATGGGTTATTTTGCTGTGGAAAAGCCAACACTGGCCCTTCTGGGCTTTTTTTAAATTTATTGTTGTTGTTTCTGAAGGTGGGATTTAATGATTTAACCCCAGGAATCAGCTTTGCACCTGATTTGTCTCAGGGAGATGTGCTATACTTTATTCCCCATTACCCTTTGGGATCAGTTTTACTATGAAGTAAAACCAGGTGAGACTGAACTTGAGAAGATAACCATGAGCAGAAGACATTTCTCAGAGCATCAGTGAGTAAATGGCTGTTACAAGAAAGACAAAAAAAAGTGTATTTACAAATGCTGATTGCTTATCTGAAAGAGTTCATTTCACTGAACCACTCCTGAAATTAAAAACTGCAAGTGCTTAAGGCTATTCATGGGAGCGTTAAAGAGAAACACCCCTTTGTCCAAACAAACCAGTGCAAGACAGACATTAATTTGACTCACTAAGATGACAGACTTGCACATTGTATTAACTTAAGCATACATGATGGGGAATACATAGAAGAAAAAAGTGTACACAGGATGTGTGGGGCATATGAGAATGATGAAGACAAAGCAAATGAAAGTTTCTGCGGTGGCAGAACCCCAGGTGGGGAGGCAGGATGGGGCAGGGCAAGGGGGCAGAACAACGGAGAACCACCGGAGGATCCTGCCTGTCTATATTGAAGGCTGAAAGCCCAGTTCCAGATACTGATTTTGGGGAATTACCTCAAGTGACGAGAAAGAAAACAAACCCAAAACCTTCAAGAAACAGTCCTGTAGTGACTTTCCATAGGAAACGAGCCAGCCAGTCCTGCTACATCTACCACCTGGGCTGTATAGTAGGGAACGCTGCTGTTTATTAAGGGAAACTAAGTGAGTATTCAGTGACTGGAGCCATCAACATGTATAGCTGAAAAGCCACCTGAACGGAAGAGATGTTCATTTTAT